TCACCCTGACCTCCTGGCGAGGACTTTGTCCCAGTAACTCAGTAACCTGTTATTCCCATAAGAATTACTTATAAACAATTAGTTTTTATATTTTTAGTCTGCATGCGTACTGTAGCTCTGTTTTTCTGTTTCATCGTCTCTTTGTGTCCTCATCCATTCTCCCATCTGTTTAACTGGCTTTTAGTTTTGTTTTTCATCTGTTCTCCGCCTCCCAGCATCGTCTCTTATCCTTTTCTCCCACCTGTCTTTCAGTGGGAAGTTTTAAGCATAAAGTATGTCATTGTTGTTTTCGTCCACGTTCTTCTCTCATGAGATGGGTGGCATTTACCTGTGGTGGCAGCAGTAGGAGGGATTTTGGCAGATGTTGTTTACTCGAGCATAAATTCATCAGCTCACTCGACAACCTCTGCACGCTGGGTGGCCTCGACGTTACTCAAAACAAAACACTGGAAAGAATGACAGATGATATCATGGTAATGAAGTCAAACTGTGATCTTTATTTTCAATAAAATGGAAACGCTCCACAACTTTCAGTTGTCAGTTCGGGTGAACTGGGTCATTTTACTTTTGTAGACTTTCCAGGTTCATATCAGGTAACAGAATTAAATTATGAAAAGGCTCAAATCTTCATTTCCCTCTTTAATATAATGTGCATATAACAGGATTTTCAAACAAGTAATGATATAAATTTATTTAAAATTCCTTGTTTTCATTTTATTTTCTACTTACATCATGGACTTCCTCATATCACTGTACAGGCGAGGTTCATCAGCTGAACTAAATCAATAAAACAAACGTAGCCACAGAGATAATCTGCAGTTTTTGGGTTGGTGTCCAAACTATTGACTCGTGCTGTAAAATCATTGTTTTTTCTCTGGAGGTTTTTCCCGTTTAAATATTTGTCATTTCCATTTACGTCTGTCTAGCAGGGCAGGAAGCCTCATGTGCAACTTCTAAATGAATTGCAGTGGAATTAATGGATAATTTGATCCAGGATGAGTCACTGGGTGTTGTCCCTCAGTAGTTTTCAATTAGTTAACCAATCAGAAGAAAGTAGACTTTCTGAAACAGGAACAGAAGAGACAGGAGCTAAAGCAGGTTAAAAAACCCAACTGCAGACGATGTAGGCAGACTGATTTAACAGAAGGCCACTGAATGAAGCTGACGCAGAGTTTAAAGACAATATAATCCAAACAAGCTGACGAGATCACAGACTGAGGCAAAGACAGAACTATATATACAAATGGAGTGATTAAAGGATGGGAGACAGTTGGGACAGAGGTGCAGACGATCAAAGCAGTGAGACGGGAAAGTACAAATAAACACAAGACACAGGAGCAAACTGAAGTAAAACAGGAGCTAACTCGGTGGATGACCGCGACACACAAGCTGTACTGAACAAAGACAACTGTGAGGAAACTAAACTCAAATAACAGAGCAGTAACTAAACACCAGCTACAAACACAACAAGACATACACAAGGGTGCAAAAAGTTCACAACTTTAAAGAAATAAACAAAAAGTTACAATGAAACCAAACAGGAAACAGAAACAACTCAAAGCTTCAAAGAATACACAAACAAACATGATACACAAGAGATGATAATGTAGTAACTACTGAACATGAATGAATGCAAAACACAAGGAAACACAAACTGACTCTGCAGAAGTCAAAGATTTAAAACTTGTTATAATCGTTTTATAAATGAAGGGAAATCATTAACACAGGAATACACGAACACAAAAGACCAACAACGCTTTGTGTGCTTATGTTCGGTCTGGTCATGATCTCGAACTCTGAGCATGTTATTACTTCAGCTTGAGCTAATTATTTTCCCTGCTTGTGAAACAATCAGGGCTGAAGGCGCACTCAGACATGAGCTGGTACTCACTGCTTCTGCTGTTTTTTAATTTGCTCCCTTCTGAGATAATGGCGGCCAAACTCGTTGTAACTTCCCACCGAGGCTCATTCTGGGACGTCTGTGGCAACCGCAGAAAGCGCAGAGCAGAATAAGGAAACACGAGTCTAAAATCTCTTCTTCAGCACCAAACACATCACCATAAAAGTCTTATTGGAACAACATCAAGTTTTAGTGTTTCTATTAAGCATTCACATAAACAGAAATCACACATAGTGACGAGTTAATAAAATTGTTACATGTTACTAATGATTGCCTCTATTTTATGCTACACGCTGCTTCTTTGGTTACAGTATGGATGAGATTGGAGTAGATGAGGATGCAGAGGCGCTGGATCAAAGCTTCTGTTCCAACCTGCAACACGAAGCTTAAATGGACACTCTTCAACTGTTAGACCACGCCCAACAATGTTAGGCCACGCCCAATGATGTTAGGCCACGCCTAATCAATGTACTCTCATGTAGTTACACATGTTTAGTCTTAATATTTGCACCATTTTGTAATATTTTGGAGTTATTTTATTCAAACAAGCACTGTTGGAAATGAAAGTTCAGATCTTTTTACAGGTTGTATAAAGTAGATCTGCTCTCCTATTTGCTGCAATCATAAATCAATAACTAAAACAACACTTTTGATCTCATGTCGAGTGTATTTATTGCGTATTTCTTGCTTTAGCACAAAATCAAACTTAGACTTTAGTCCAATCAGTCCACAGCACCAAGGTCAGCCTCAATGTTGACAGATTTGCTTATGATGCTGCTTCTAAATATAAAGGTTTTTGTTCTGTTGCTCCAGGTATCATTCAGCACATATGACATATGTTGTTTAAATTATCACTATGAGCAATTTCAGGTTCAATAAACATTCATTTTTCCCAAATGATTTTGTTCGTAATGCAGCAAAGACTGAAGTTTTGAATTAAGTTTGCAATAATTTCACAACACTGACAAAAAACAAAAAGAATTTCACTATGTTATCACTCGGGCGAGTCACTGAGGTCTTGTGATTGGTTATCGGACCCAAATCCTTTTATATCATCTTGGCCAGAGTCTGAGCAGCTGTTCTGAAGCTGCTGTTTAAAGGAAAGTGAAAAGACAAAGTTCGTATTGGCACAGGGACAGTAAAACCACTTTAATACAATCATGACTTAAATCAAACAAAAACAAACAAACAAAAAGCTAAAAGTTGACTAAATGTTGGCTGCTGCTGTGCATAGACAGGTTCCAGAGCACTAAACAGATACTGTGCTGGTTTATATTATGGCTGCAAGTTTTTTTAAATGCATCTTACATATATTGGTACATATTAGGGATGCACCGATACCGATACCGGTATCGGGTATCGGCCTCGATACCACATTTTCTAAAGTACTCGTACTCGTTAAAAGTCCCCCGATACCGAGGACCGATACCACGGTCTGAGACCTGTCTATGTTTGAGTGGCATGTAAGGGGTTAATCACAGGCGCTGATTATTATAGGATAAATTATAGGACTAAAGCTGTTACCTGCAAATTTAAATCATGTTTTTATTAAGTACTCGGTATCGGCGAGTACTGAAATGCAAGTGCTCGTACTCGTTTCCAAAATAGTGGTATCGGTGCATCCCTAGTACATATGCTTCTGGTTTCAGCTGTTTTTCCCGCTCTGGGACAGTAGTGAGAAAACTGTACAGAGTCCTACAATACATTTCAGGCCAGTATGATCAATGACTCTCTTACAGAGTCATTGATCGTACCCAACCTAAACCAATGTGTCTGTGAGATGACGATGAAAGTGTGTCTAAAAGATTGTAGTTTGCATTAAGATCTCCTTAGCAAATATGTAAAGTATACTTCACTGGGAATGAAGGACCTTCAAACACAGGGGTAAGGGCCTTTAAGTGTCAAGAGTACGATGATGAGCTTCTTGAGGCTTTAATGCTCCTTGCCTAAAGAAATCCTCATTTTGAAAATGAAGAAAGGGAGACGTTTTATTCTTAGCAGCTGTGGTTAAACACAACAGTGCCAAGAACCAAACATCCAAAGGTGCTAATAACAGCAATGTTGGACCAATACAGCCCAGTTTGGTCCAAGTTTAACCCAAAATGGACAGCTGAGTCGGACCACTGCAAATGAAACCAAAGAACAGATACGAAGCACAGTCAGTTTATTGATTACAGTGAAACTGATGTTAAATGTTATTTAGCCATCTGGGAAAGTTGTTCAGCGTCTCTTTGCTGAGTAGGGCAGCTCCTTCCTCACTGTTCCTCGTGTCCTCTTGTCCTAACTGACCCCTGTGCTTTGGTTTTGCCTCATCTTTCCCACACAGGTTCCAGTGTCCTCAGTTGCCCGAATACTCCAAGTTAGTTTTCAATCCTCCTGTGTTTTACTAATGTTTCCTTTCATTCCTGCCTGGTTCCCTTTTCTGTTTTACATAGAAGCCTTTAGAAGTAGACACCTCCCATTTATCACCATCACCTTCTCTTCTCATCACCTGCCCATGTCAGCTACTTTACACCAAGTGGGTTTCATTAGTGCTAAATGTAGACTGTCTATCTAATTTAATAAAGCAACACATCTACCATTAAGTTAAAATATATACATATATATTTGAGCACATCAGTTAAAAACGCTGTATTTTTTGCACCCCAGCCACCTTCCCACTCACCTACTGCTTTATGGGATTTCTTTAACCAATCAGCATGCTAGTTGGTGCTCATCTGCAGCGTGGTTACAGCATGCTGTTGAAGAGCTGCACAGCCAGACATCATCCCTCTGCTCAGCACACAGCACTCTCACTGTCACCTCATATCACTGCGACCAGTTAACACTGAGCCTTCAACATGCATCTGCACTCTGCGTGCGCACATCTCTGTGCATGTGTGTCTGTGATGGACGCCGCTCACCACTCTCGCTGTCTCCGTAGGGATGAGGGAACATCCTCCCATCGCTATCTGTGACCTGGCCGACCACATCGAGAGACTCAAGGCCAACGATGGTCTGCACTTCTCTCAGGAGTACGAGGTAAATGTTCCTGCTCTTATACACGCCTTTCAAGTGAAGCAATGCACATTTCAGCCACTCTCAGTTATTTCACATTTTATAAGCTAGTTTTCCGTAGAAAACAACCCAGATGTGCAATAGGAACAATTACTGTGGTGTACAAGAGTGTGAGAACTGATGGTTCATGGTTCAAAATGAAGAATTAGGTCAGTTGTAAATTGCAGGTGTATTGCTGAGTGAATGCAGTGCTGAGTTTTCAGCTTGTTTGGATCAGTTTGTCTGATGTTTTGGCTAAAAGTTGTTTCCTGTTACCAGAGTTTGCACTGCAGTCATTGCTGCATGTGTAGAGGGGTTCACATAAACACAAAGGCATGCTCTTTTTGGCTTTGAACCTAATTTAGCTTGAAAAACTCAACTTGTATAAAAATGTTCTAGCTTTGTAAGAAATATATTTTTCTAACAAAAACAGCTGGATTCAAATGATTTATTTACCTTTTTTTGTTTGTCTGCTTCTTCAGTCTGCTCCTCTGAATAAGCACAATCTAAGCACACACATATTCAGTGAGCATGTCCTTGGAGTTGTCCTCTTTTTAAAACAGAGCAGTTCTTTGCCTTAATAATTGATTATAAAGTCACTTACGAATGCTAATCTTGAACTTTCTGGGTTCTAATTTCATGAGCAGCTTCTTCATCCTTCAGCCGTCTTTAACTTGTTTTCTCTCGAGCACTTGAATACTCTCCACCTCTCCTGTGGTGAAAGTCATCGTCTCTTCCCACCTCGATGACAGCCCTGCAGCGTCTCTCTCTTTTGTCTTTGACGCCTCGTGCTAACATGCTGCTCCAGCTGCAGCTGCACAGAGCAATATTAGCTCAAAGGGAGCTTTGTGTGGGAGGTGCCAACTATGAGCTGAAAATAAGTCTGTGCTTTTTAAAGACAATAAATAGGTGAATTTCCTTAAACTAGTCAACACTATAGATCAGTTGTTTGTTTTTTAAAAACTGAGCTGATTTCAGCCTGAATAAAATACAATGGCATAATATCTTTAACCCCTCTTGAAGTGAAGAGAAAATAATCTCCTTTGCTGACTCAAAGCTTTCTTTTTCTTGATTTTTAGCCATCTTTAAACCTTCTGTTTGTTTCACTCGGTCCATGTTTAAACATACATATTTACTCAAACCATCTGTAAAATCAGCATTTTATTCTGTAGCTAAAACACCTCACACAGCACATTTTCCAAGAACCATTTTTCCCCCTGAGATGTTTTCATTTGTGTTGGCTGAGCATTACAGAGTTAAAGTTTAGATTAGCCAAAAAAAAGGATGCTGCTAAGTATGCATGACTTCTCTGCTTCCTTTCCAAGAATAATATTCGACTGCTTTTACCTACTGTAAGAGCCAGTGAGGGATTATGGCTTGTTGATGTCCTACAAAGGAAGGTAATTTGCATTTAAAGTGGTGAATTTCCAAGCGGATAAACCAGGACAGATGGGTGCACTGTTTATGCACAGCAGAAGGAAGGGGGCATATAAATTATGAAACAGCAACTGAATCAACTGTTCCACCTTTCCCATTTCTTCTTACCTCTGTGATGCGATGGAGGGAACTTTCTGCAGACAAGTTGTCTTGTTTGCAAAACCAGACGGTTCAGTTCAGACACGAACGTTTTGGTTTGAATGATCTGTTAAATGTGATTCTTCAGATGGAGACAAGGAAATGCACAAAACTGGGTTTAGATTTCTGTGAAAATGAAATTTGATTTCTGATCACAAAAGTGTAAACTGTTAAAAAACAATATCATTATTGTTATGACAACAAGCTGCTATCTACATACTTTCTAGGGTATGTGACAGGTGTATTTGGGGTCCGAGAGAGACTTTTTAGACATGTTCTTGTTTAGAAGATCGTTAAAATGTCAGGTGGTCTTATCCATAAACCATACTGTGGATGAAACATGGATTTATGATCATGACTCATCCACTGGTTCAGATGTTGAAACCTTAGCTTACTTAACACCGGCGCCACTCTGTTGTTCCAACAAACTGCACAACAGGCAGACACACATTTTTCATTACAAATGCTCCAAAGACATCAGCATCACAAACAAGTCAAAGGTCAGTAAGAGAACTGAAGCTTTTGGCCTTGGCTTCATTTTCACAACATCAGCGCGGCTACAAGTCTCTGTATCAAGTATTAGATGATTATTAAATAACGTTGTTGTTGCCTTTCTCGATTACATGAAGTTTTAAGAAGCCAACTTCTCCACAGAGCAACAATTTGCCACACATGCTGAAGTGTGATTGAGAAAGGCTCCAGAGGATGAGGCCGAAGCCTTTCAGAGCAGCAGGCTGACACTGGAGAGACATTGTTGGGACGTGAGGCCAAAGTCTGCACAAGTGTCTAAAACCAGCCTGCAGAGCACATTTATTAACTTTCTCCAAGACCTAGAATAAGAAATGCAATTATTCATTCAAATTCCATTTTTAAAAATAAGTAATGAAGACAACAAGTTTAGTGTTTGTATCCACTCACAATGACATCCTGAGTGTGTGATGTGTGAGATGCTTTTCAGGCACTAAAGAGTTCATGAAACTTTGATCAGGACAGAAGCATAAGGTCACACACACACAC